ACTGTGTGAAACCGAACCAGGAAAGAGGAGCGTTGGGGAGAGATCACCTAAAGCAAGGGCTGCTGAAGGATGAAGGCATGATGGAGGGAGAAATTGATAGAGGAACGGATGCTGGTATATTTGGATATTTCCCGTCCATGTGGGTCCTGCTGGATGCACACACTTCCTATAGCCTGTACTGTCGTATCCCACACACCCACCTGAGCACAACCTGCTTGGAGGAGTCGCAGGGAAAAGGAAAATGTGTGTTGATGGATTATAAAAGTTGTACGCTTTTTCTCATCTCTTAAAAAAGGGTTGATCATTTTGTGGACGCACACTTCTATCTATTTGGACAGCTGAAGTTTTGACATTGTAGAAGGAATGTGATGTCAGTGTGCGTAAAATTGTGACATTATGAATACTACTGCAGCAGTCGGACTTGTGTTTGTGTGTGTGTGTGTGTGTGTGTGTGTGTGTGTGTGTGTGCATGTGCAAGCGAACAGGAGCCAAACTAAACACAGGCAAAGAGCCAGACTGCGCTTCCACTGGCAGAGAGAGTGGCTTCACCACAGACACAGTCAGATGTAGTATATGTAGAATAATAGTTCTGAATTGTGTCTCCTCGTTGATGTATTTAAAATCTCTTTATTTTGTCAGCGTCTTTAATTTTTAGATTTTTGACCTTATTTTTGTTATCATGTGAATGTTGCTGTTTTTGCCTCTTTCCATTCTTTTTTGCATATGTGTGTGAAAGTCTAGTGATCCTCTCAGAACACTGTAAGATAAGACAAGAAAAGACGATGTTTTATTAACCCAAAAGGAAATTTTTGTGCCATGCATTGCTCAGAAGAAAAAACAAAATGATATATAACATAAGAAATGCAGTGGTTTTTAGAAAAACAATATGATATAAATGCAATACATAAAGTAAATAAGCTTAAATAAGGCCAAGATAGAAAAATAAAAGGTAAAGCTGGCAGTGGTACTAACTGATATCACACATGATGACGAAATTACAAGTGTTACAGAAATGTTACATATGAAATCTAAATATTGGACATTACATTGACAACGTTGTACATTAAAGTCTTGCACATAAAATCAAAATATTGCACATTATAATGAATTGTTCCACATGATATTGAAACTGAAATTGTACAAACTGTTAAGAAAGGTAATATTGCAAATGATATTGGTATTATTATTTAACTCGAAGAGCCCGATGATTTAGTTGCCATTCCTGCAGAAGGGGGAGGAGTTCTACAGTTCATCCTTTACACAGTTAAACAGATCTCCTCAGGGGTCTTCGTTTACAGCTGTGAATCAATTATGTGCAATTTTACAAAGACTTACTGCACTTTGTATTTATGTACTATTTCAGGAACTTGAATATTGTGAGAAAGTTAACAAATTGCATTTAAAACATCTTAAGTGTCTAATATTCAATGCATTGTTGTATAAAAACAAAGCTCTCAGCGTCTTAAACGCTGCGTCACCGCTGCACAGTAAAGCTTCAGTCTAACAGCGGGTGTTCCCTGCTGTCGCTCAGCTGATCATTTTTGAGAGAAGTGATACATACTTTGCCAAAATGTTTTTGTCATAGCCGCAGCGTTCGGTATGATGGCAAGCAAGAGACTACAAGTGTTATGTTGCATTCTTGCTCTCTGTCTGCTGTCGTCCTATTTGACTCTAAAGCCTTAAATATATATACGTAAATGTGCAATTAGCATTGTATCTTGTCTGGTTCCTATTCAAGAAAATTCACACTAACCATCATTTACATATAGGTCCACATATTATTTAAGATAACATAGCTATGCTGGGGAGTTTTAAGCTTAAATATAACAATTAAATGTAAATCATAGATACCAAAGCCTTATAGCATACACCATAGCATTAACGTTGACATTTGTAATTGCTGCCTTCTATTTAAGGATACATGCTGGCTTACTACTCAGTACGTCTGCCTTGCAGTTCCATGCAAGACCAAATCACGTTAAACTTCACTGAGCTGGCAAAAATATTGTAAATGTCTGGGAAGATGAAGTGAGACTCATGCATATTGCGTTTAACTGACAGCATCGGCTGAAGAGGGGGATTGTAAGGTCTCACAGCAGGACACACAACAAGGGCATGTTTGCTAGTTAGAAAAGTAGTGTTAACCTGACAGATGGACTTTGAATAATGAGAGGGCCGATATAGAACCAGTGGTGTCATGTTGAATAACAGCACACAGTCAGCAAAGCGCACACTTTACATGACAGGACTAAATTCTATTCAGTAATTTGTTTCCACACATTCCAGTTTTTTTTTTTTCTGTTAGGGAAAACATGCAGCCTCTGAGCTTTAATGTTTCTATAAAGAGAAATCTGGATGTCAGGAACAGAAAGTAAGCTGATGTAACCTTTCCAGACACACGTGGCCCACACTTACTGTAAATACACATACAGTAGGTCATAACTCAGGCTGTGTGTGTGCTTCTAAGAGAAACACAGAGAGAGAGGAGAACGGAAGAAAGTATCTGTGCAGATGCTGAGGAGGGAGTGTGTTTTCTCATTCACTCCATAAAGCACGGCTCTCTGCATTCTACCAAATAAAGTGATGAGCAGCTCCCTCGCTCTCCCTCGCTCTCCTTCGCTCTCTCTGTTTTTTCATATGGAAATAGGAAATAATGGGGTGATTAAATAGAGTCGTATATTAAAGTACAGCTGACATTAGAATTAGCATAATGTGCTCTCGCCTCAGGCTGCATACTTTATTTGCCATCTGCGTTAGACTCACTTCCCCCGGGAGGGCGAGCGCCACTCACGCACACAC